GTTGTGGGATTCTAAAGACCTTTTTTTTTTTATTGTCTGGGCCTACAACCCCAGCTGACATAATACTTTCAGAAATCTTGAGGCTTTTGGTGTATCCACTTTGTAATTCACTTTGAGACCAAAACTGTACCCACAAATCTCATAAGATGAACCCTTTTGTACCAGGTTCCTCACATGGACTCTTTGGTGTCCTGTTTAACAGAGAAATTCTCCATGGCCTTCCCTGAAGACCTGTAAAGGGCTTTGGGAGTTTACCAACACTTATTAAAGCCATTATCCTAACAGTACCTGATATTTGATCTTTTCTTAGATGCTATTTCTTAATTTTTGCGTCGTTTGTCATCTGGAGAAGGTGGGAGGTAGAAAAAAATAGGTTCCTAACCCAGCATGTCCTAGTTCCTGAATGCTCAAGGGTTGGTTCTTCAGCTGCTCTCTCTCCTCTTGCCTTTTCATAGACAGTGAGAAGGAGTCAGGTGGCACTTCTGACATTCCACCTTGGAATCTCCTCAGCTATACCAGAGGTCAGCTGGTGAGCAGGTAGCATGTTTTTGTAATTAATGCCTGATTGTAAATTCATGCCTGTCTGCCAGTCTTGCACATGGCAGAGCCAAGTGGTTGCAACAGAGACAATGTGACCCATACTTGACTGTAGAGTTGTTTTTCTATGGCCCTTCGCAGAAGGGGTTTGCTCACCCTACCCAAGACTATTGAGTCCATTAGACACATTTTTCATTTTCCAAAGGTAACAGTGTTGCCAAATCTATGCCACTGTATAACAAGGATTCCTCCTTTAATTTTCCAATAACAGGTTGCCCATAGCTAGACTAGTCCACTGGAAGGCAATCAGCACTCTTCAGTGCCGTACTGCAACTGGGGTGCTGGGTCCAGCCTTCTCCACGTAATGTGTGGCCATCCTCCCACTGGGAATCCTGTCTGAGGCTGGCAAAGGACTCCACCATTCAAGATAATTTCTCCTACAGAAGTTGGTCCGTGTAGCTCAATTGCAACTCCACTCCTGAACCTCTTATAGCTTTTGTGCTGATTAGGTTCCATTGCAAAGAACAGAGTTCGCCTGAGCTGACATGAGGCCTGAAAAATTCATGACCGGCATTAAATGGCTTTTGGAATCATTGGAAGGGGTGAAGACACACATATGGGCTAAGCTTCCGGGAGTGTCTCATAAAGCTGCTGCAATAGATCCTGCCATTGCAGCAGCAGAGAAGTCTAGGAAATGTGATTTTTAGCTTCTTCAATGGTTTAAGTCTGCTTGTGTGGCTGTACAGCATGGACTGGTGGCTTGAATGGCAGAGATTTGTTTTTTTCACAGTTTTTGAGTCTAGAAATCCAGACCAAGGTACCCTTAGTGGTGGGCTTGAGAGGGCCATCTGTTTGCTGTATCCTCATGGAGGCTTTCCTCTGTGTTTGTGTGTGTGTGTGTGTGTCTGTGTGTGTGTGTGTGTGTGTGAGAGAGAGAGAGAGAGAGAGAGATTGATCCATCTCTGGGTCTTTTCCTCTTCTTATATGGACACTACTTCTATCAGATTAGGGCCCTACCCTTATTACCTCATTTAACTTTAATTAAATGAGGTAATAAGGGTAATAAGTTCTCTAAAGGCCCCCCTCTCCAAATGTAGTTACATTAGTTGTTAGGGCTTCAAATATGCGTAGAAACGATTCAGTCCACAACACCAATTCTCCTCAGCAGGGAGGCAAAATCAAAATCCTCAGACAGGATTCCCAGTGGGAGGATGGCCACACAGTATGTGGAGAAGGCTGGACTCAGTACCCCAGCACTCTGAATATTGAGCAAACCATTTCGCAACATCCATCGAGCTTTGAAAAACAAAGGTGAAGTTACTCATTGCAGCATTATATGTGTATCAGCAAAGCCTTGGAAGCAACCGCAACAGAAGGGCCCACAGACAATTAAACAATGGAATACTATGTAACTGTGAAAAAAATAAGGGAGCTCTGAGAGGAGTGTCTGCGGTGGAAAACTCTCTATGATGGGGTGTTAAGTGGAAGAGAAATTTAGAACAAGTGAGCAGTTTACTACATGCCCAGCAAAGGAAACAAACATCTATTTTCGATTATTACCTGTGCGTATGTGTGTACGTGTGTATGTGTGTGTGCATCTGTGTGTTTGCCAGTAGGTATTTGCTCACATATATTTATTTATAAATGGCACAAACAGACAGCTATGGTTGCCATGGAGGGAGGAATTGAGTAGCTGAGGCCAGAATGGGAGGGAATGTTCTGTGGTATGTTTGTGTATTTTGGGGTTGTTTGTTTAGAAAGCAGATTCTGAAGACTGATTGCTGTCCAGGATGTTTACTGCAGAGTGTCCTTGGGATGAATGTCTGTGCGAGAGAGGAGAAGGAATCCAGTTTGAGCAGAGGCGGGAGCTGACCTGCAGCTGAGGCCTGGCACCAGCATCCTCTGCCTGCCCACTGAGAACTCAGGAGCTGGAATGGTTTAAGAGTTTTCTTGCTTTGGACCTTCAACAGTCACTGGGTGTGAGCTTCCGGGAGAGGGTGTGAGCTTGGGAGGGGCTCTTCACAGCTGCAGCAATGCTTACGGGCTGGCAGATGCAAGCTGGATGCTCATCACACTCCCCTGCTCATCACACTCCCGAGGTTGGACAAGTCCTTCCTGGAATGGGAATCTGAAGGCCACATCTCTTGTCTATCATGCAGGGCCTCTTGATACTTCTCTGACATCACCTCCTGCTAATGTGAGTCTCACTGCTTTGCACCTTATGTGTTTCTATCTCAAGGTCTTTTTCTTTACTGTTCCTTTGTCCTTGTTGTTCCCCCCTTAAACAACTGGGTGGTTCATGTGTCCATTTCCTTCCTTCATAGTTCCTCTCAGATAAGAGGATATTTCTCCTTACCTGAGAGGACTTCCCTGACCAGAGGACTTCCCTGACCATCTCAGTCAACGTGGTACACCATCCCTGGAATCCTATGATGACTGTTTCTTTAACATGCTTTACTTCTTTTTCTGCCTCACATCACCTCTTAGCATACATTCCTTTGTTTACTTTTTGTAGTTCTTCACTGACAGCAGCCTCCTCACTCTGTATTGAGCCCGGCTGTACCCTCAGTGCCTAAGATCACACAACAATAGGAGCATAGCATGCTTTCAACAAATAAGTGTTCCATGAATGTACAAAGGCACCAGACACTGTGCCTGCCTCAGATGGAAAGCACTGGTAGGCGCAAAATCACTGGTAGGCGCTGCCTTCAGGGAGCTTGCTCCCTGGGTGGGGAGAGGAAGTAATGAATCCATCACACAGACATAAATTTCAGTCATGAAGTGACCTGTGATGAAAAGGATCATGGTGCCAGAAAAGCAAGAGCAGGTAACTGACAGGAAGGGCATGGAAAACTGTCGTGGGAAGTGACAGTGACATGTGGGTTGCGATCTCAAGAATGAGCAGGCTTTGTTTAGGTAAAGGAAGGGGATGGATTTATCTTTTGAAAATGTCACTCTGGATTGAATGAAGAGACTGAATGACAGAGGGCGAATGCGTGTGGGTACACAGGATTGTTAGGAAACTATGGAAATCCTCTAGCAGAGGGGTGATGGTTACCAGAATTAGGGGGACCCTTGTGGTTGGGAGACACATCTGGATTTTAGAATTATGAAGTACACAATAGATGAGGCTCCCTTATGGCCTGTATATAGGAGGTAAGAGAGATAATTGGATAGATGGTTGAGAGAATATTGGAAGAGGAAGTAGTGCATTTTACTTTATTTCCTGTTTATGTATGTATATGGGGAAGAACAGTGAAAGAATTATCATTTTGAGTTTGAGGTATTACACCTCCAATATGAAAAATCAAGTAGACCATTGGTTTTAAGAATGAAGAGTTCAGACATGTATCCTGAACTGGAGATACTTTTTTTTTTTAATTCTGTGTAGGTGGTATTTAAAAATGTGGGAGTAGATGAGATTGCCCAGCTAGAAAACAGTGAGAAGAGATGAGTCGAATGACCTTGAGGAACCCCCATGGTTAGTGAAAACAGATTTATCAAAGAGAAGCAGGACCAACTTGGTATGTTGGAGGAAAATGTGGTATTACCTCAGGACAGTGTTTCTACAAGGAGTACTCAACAGTGTCAAAACTACTGAAAATGTACGTGAGAACTGAAAAACACAGTTGCACTGACAACAGGGAGATCATTGGCGGTGTTTGTGAATCGCTGTTTCTGTTGCAGAAGGAAGGTTAGGGTGAGTGGAGACGTGGTCACACAGAAGTTGAGGGGCTGCTTTAGGATGGGACGGGGCACTCAGAGTTTACAAGAAAGAATGAAAAGTCCCTGCAGAGGAGTTGTTTTAAATACTACGGAGTGACTGTTGCAATGGGAAGAGAGTGCAGGGGTGCAGAGGTGAATAGCTTGGTGTGTGTGTGGCATGGGGGGAAAATGAAAGAGAAGTACCTGCTTCTCCAAGCGTTATTAATAAGGGCGACTTATAAACCGTGCTCGGCTCTCCAACTGTTTCACGAAAGGTCAACGTGTATCCATACTCAGAGCGATGAGAACCAAAGCAAGAGGATCTTGAATACTATATTGATTTTGATTATGCTGGGATAATGGTAAATATGCTAAAGATCAATCTGATGACACCCGGATGGCAAGGAAAGCACAAGCGCCAATCAGGCCCCCATCCCGAGGCGCCCAGGAACGCGGTCACAGCTGGCCAATCACAGCACAGGAAATCCCCGGCGCGCTCCTAGCCCGGGACTCTAAGGGTTAAGATCAACGAGCGCTGCATCCTAGACGGGCCCCCGCACAGCCCGCCGGGGAGGTCGGGGCCACTTCCTGTCCCGGCCTCGGTCGGAGCATTTGGGACCCCGGGCGGTTGGGTCGGCCGGGGCGGGGTCGGCCGGGACAGGGCTCTTCCTCCGGGACCCCTGGGGGTCGCTGCGGGGCGGCGCGCCGGGAGCGCAGCCCGGAACCGTGAGTCCTCCGGTCCCGGAGCCGAGGGCTGCGGGCGGGAGGGCGGAGCTGCGGCGCCCGCGTCCGGGGGTCGCGCGGGCGGGCGCGGTGTCCCGAGCGCAGCGCGTTTCCCCTGAGGGCTGTCCGTCCAGAGCTGCGCTCCACCCCTCACCTGTCTGCGCTGTCCCAGTGACAGCGGCCATTCTCAGTGGCGTGACCTCTTAAGGACATCGGGTTGTGTCATTGATGACCTGAGTTTGCCCCCTTAGCTCCAAAGCCAATATAGTATCGCAGGGGAAACGGTGGGACGTGGATCGGCCCCCCGAGCCCTTGGGTCCTTGCTAAATTCCTGGATAGAAATACCCGTTTTAATAGCCCCCGCCCCCCGTTTTGCCTTCAGGTATAGGATTTTTTCTTCCCACTGAAACACTGGGAATGTCTGTGATTTAGGTCACTTCCCCTTATATAACCGGCCCTAGATGCCGAGTGTGTTTGGGAACGTCCACAACAGTGGAGGCACTCTTGGAGGAGTATTTGCATTTCGGGATTAAGCCCAGCGCTGCTCCCCACTCTCCTCCGCGGTGTCTGCTCTGCTTCGCAGTATCGCAGTATCGGATGGGCTTCCAGGAGGTGGGCCTCCCAATCCTGCTCTACTGTTTCCTGGTTGTACCTTGGGAAAGCTTCTTTATACCTTTCAACTTATCTGTGAAACCATCTTTAAGATATTTTTTTTAAAGATTAAAATATGTGGGGCTATTTATACACCTCAGGCTATTTTGAGAATGACAAGAGAACCATGCAGATTATTTATTTCACTATCTGGCACATGACAAGCAGCAGCTGGATAAAAATCATACTGGTTTTTTGTTCGTTTGTTTTTAATATGTGTGCCTTTAGAGATTCTTCATTTTAGGCTCTTTTGTATTATTTACACCCTGAAATGAATCCAAGTCCATAGATAACTGCCTTCCGGTGGTAGACCACATTCTCTTATCCCTTAAAGTGGTCAGGGGGTGCAGTTGGCTCCAGAAGATGAAGGGTGGGCTGAAATGGACAGCATGATTATGATAGGTTAATAAACTAAGTGCAAGCCTGGAAGAAGTCCCTGTTTTGTCTCCCTTTTATACTTAGAAGTGACGGGCTGCAATTATTTCAGCTCTGCTTTGTTCTATTTTGTTGTTACTGATTTTATAAATCTTAACTTTCCATTGAAACTGACTTTCTTCCTTCTGTCAACCACCTGGTTATTCTTTTGAAACTAAACAAGTTGCTTTCTCTTCTTTAGCTGCTGCTTATGCCAGCATAGGGATTTCTTGGAGTCTTTATAAGTTACTATTGATGCCTTTTCTGCAAGAATATTTTGTTTTTTCAAATATTGGGGATGTAGCTCAAGCAGTAGCGTGCTCGCCTGGCATGCGTGGGGCGCTGGGTTCGATCCTCAGCACCACATTAAAATAAAGATATTGTGTCCACTGAAAACTAAAAAAAATAAATATTAAAAAATTCTCTCTCTCAAAAAAAAAAAAGGTATTTCTATGAGTGGACATTGAGTACTAGTGTTCATGTCTATATTTGAAGCTTGACCTTCAGATTTTTAATGCAAAGGTAATAATAAATAGTATAAATTATGATAATTTAAAAATTATTTTCTTAGAATAGGTAAATCAGGTTTACTCTTATTTCTGAACACAGCCAATTTTCTTCAGTATGGTCTCAACAGAACATTCTGTGCCTACAATTGCTATGTTGTAATGGTTGGGAAGGAAGGAGGAATAAACTTAGAACAAGTGCCTCCAAATGTGACCCCTGTTTCCATCCACAGGGTTTCTGCTCCCTAACCTGGCTGTGATTATTGTGATGGAGCAAGGAAAGGAACTGTTGGTGGCAGAGTCTAAAGGTTTCACCAAGAGGGAAAATTTGAAAGTCCTCTTTTCAGGTGAGGGATTGAGAAGATTGTCTGAATGGTTAGGCAGTTTGTTACAAGATGTGCTAGAGAGGGCTGGGGATGTGGCTCAAGCAGTAGCGCTCGCCTGGCATGCGTGTGGCCCGGGTTTGATCCTCAGCACCACATACAAACAAAGATGTTGTGTCCGCTGAAAACTAAAAAATAAATATTAAAAAAAAAGATTCTCGGCTTACACAGTATGGCCGGCGACATTAGCTAGCGCTCGCTCTACTCTCTGTAACGGGAAAGCAGCGGACTACAAGAGACTGAACTGTATCTGCCTCTATTTCCAACAGACTCACATTCAACTTTCGCTCACACACACAAAGCCGGGAAAATTTTATTAATCCTTTTTTAAAAAAAATTAATATAAAATTATAGCAAAAAAAAAAAAGGAACCTGAACTTTAGTAACAGCTGAAACAATCTGCAGCGGCGGCAGCGGCGGCAGCGGCGGGAGAAGAGATTTAATTTAGTTGATTTTCTGTGGTTGTTGGTTGTTCGCAGTCTCACGGTGATGGAAGCTGCACATTTTTTCGAAGGGACCGAGAAGCTGCTGGAGGTTTGGTTCTCCCGGCAGCAACCCGACGCAAACCAAGGATCTGGGGATCTTCGCACTATCCCGAGATCTGAATGGGATATACTTTTGAAGGATGTGCAATGTTCAATCATAAGTGTGACAAAAACTGACAAGCAGGAAGCTTATGTACTCAGTGAGAGTAGCATGTTTGTCTCCAAGAGACGTTTCATTTTGAAGACATGTGGTACCACCCTCTTGCTGAAAGCACTGGTTCCCCTGTTGAAGCTTGCTAGGGATTACAGTGGGTTTGACTCAATTCAAAGCTTCTTTTATTCTCCTAAGAATTTCATGAAGCCTTCTCATCAAGGATACCCACACCGGAATTTCCAGGAAGAAATAGAATTTCTTAATGCAATTTTCCCAAATGGAGCAGCATATTGTATGGGACGTATGAATTCTGACTGTTGGTACTTGTATACTCTGGATTTCCCAGAGAGTCGGGTAATAAGTCAGCCAGATCAAACCCTGGAAATTTTGATGAGTGAGCTTGACCCAGCAGTTATGGACCAGTTCTACATGAAAGATGGTGTTACTGCAAAGGATGTCACTCGTGAGAGTGGAATTTGTGACCTGATACCAGGTTCTGTCATTGATGCCACACTGTTCAATCCTTGTGGGTATTCAATGAATGGAATGAAATCGGATGGAACTTATTGGACTATTCACATCACTCCAGAACCAGAATTTTCTTATGTTAGCTTTGAAACAAACTTAAGTCAGACCTCTTATGATGACCTGATCAGGAAAGTTGTGGAAGTCTTCAAGCCAGGAAAATTTGTGACCACCTTGTTTGTTAATCAGAGTTCTAAATGTCGCACAGTGCTGTCATCACCCCAGAAGATTGAAGGTTTTAAACGTCTTGATTGCCAGAGTGCTATGTTCAATGATTACAATTTCGTTTTTACCAGTTTTGCCAAGAAGCAGCAACAACAGCAGAGTTGATTAAGGAAAATGAAGAAAAAACGCAAAAAGAGAACACACATAGAAGGTGGTGGCTGCTTTATAGATGATGATACTGGGGGCCATGCTTTCCATGACCACCACCTTGTAGTTGCAGAAAGCCCTAGATGTAATGATAATGATAGTGTAATCATTTTGAAGTGTATGCATTATTATATCAAGGAGTTAGATATCTTGCATGAATGCTCTCTTCTGTGTTTAGATATTCTATGCCACTCTTGCTGTGAAATTGAAGTGCATGTAGAAAAAAACTTTTACTGTATGAAACTTTACAACACTTGTGAAAACAATTCAATTTGGTTTATGCACAGTGTAATATTTCTGCAGGTATCGTCCAAAATTCCCCACAGACAAGGCTTTCGTCCTCATTAGGTGTTGGCCTCAGCCTAACCATCTGGGACTGTTCTATTATATTGCTGCCAGAATTTTACATCCAATTACCTCCACTTTCTAGAACATATTCTCTACTAATGTTATTGAATCCAGTTTCTACTTCATACAGATGTTTTTTTGCAACAGCAATTAAATTTTTCTTTCACAAGACAAGTCCTTAAAATGATTCCAGTTACTCATTTTGTGTATTTACTATTTTAATAATTGTTTCTGCATTTGTAGTCTTTTGATTTTTTTTTTCCCCTCAACCTGGTGTCTTCCCCTCCAGCCCCACAAATGAAGCAATAAACTTACACTGTGGGTTTATATACTAATCTTATATCCCAAGTGGGGAAAAGTCTCCGGGTTTAATTTTCTTTTAAGGGCATATTAATTTGGCCTCTTTTTTAATGGCATGGGCTCTTTTGGAAGGTAAGTGACAATATTAAATATTAATATTAAATATTTCTCACAAAAGAATTTTAAGCATCTCCAATATTGACTAGCAGTGAGGACATAGAGTTATAGATTTGGGTATGCTAACTAAACTGTACACCCCATGTTATGCTATGCTCTTTGATAAATGAGATTAGCTTCAAACAGTACCATGCCTTTCCTAACTTGCTAAGTAGTGATCTAAAAGGATTTTTATCACTAAGTAGATAAGTAGGGAGATTTAGTATATAGGTTGTCCTGGATTCATTAAATCCTGTCAGCTTGGATCATCCACCTTAACTTTTACTTTTAGTAGTCATTGCCACTAATTTCCTATAATAGTGTATTATAAACTTTGGTTCAAAGCAGATCAGTGGTTTTCCATCTTAAGACTTAAAAGTTATGTGATTGATAACTTGTTCTGACTTCATCTGTTCCCTTAATATCTTCCTCCTTCCATGGTATTCAAAGATAAAATGAATAACTGCCCAGAATGAGAATTGTACATGTTATTCAGATATTCCCATGTGTAGCAGAATGTATGGATGGATTTTTTAAAATTAAAATTCTAAAAATATTCAGTGAGAAATGACAAGTAATACTGGCTTTCAAGAGTTGTGATCTTTTATCTATATTTGCAAATACTGTGGTATTTAAGCAACTGAGAACAGCAAAATTGACTGTTTTGTATTTCTTGAATTCAATATTTTCTTGATAATTTCTGGATTGATGCAGTGATGCTTTGTTCCTTCCATAGTTTTAAACGAAAAGCATTTTTTCAGTGTTTCTCAACAAAATCTGCTTGGTTTGAAATCAGGTGGTTAGAACACTGTTTTGACTTATATCTCAAGCATTCGGTTTCATTGAGGAAGCTTTCAATCAACTCGATCTGTTTGATTCCTAATGAGCACAGCACGTAATGTTTTGACTTGCTCTGTTGTGAGAACCTATACTCAAGGGTGGATTTTGTTTTGGAGCAGTATCAGTGGATTGGTAATGTTTGTTGGCTTTGAGGTCTGATTTTTATTTTAAAAAATTTTTTTCTTTCCCCATTTAATAGTCTTAAGACTTCTAATGTTGAAAACTTGGCACAAATTTGTGTGGAACAAAGCCTATAAAAATGAAAACTGTAGATTGAATAGGATCTATCCTAGTGTGATAGAAGAGGGAAAATTTTGGTGCCGTATTTCTCTCTTCATTAGTGTTGACTTAAATCAGTTGAAATGTATTTCTGTATCACAATTTAAGCTTCAATAAAAGTTTGCTTACTTAAAACAAACAAACAAAAAAAAGATTCTCTCTCCTCCCTCCCTCCCTCTCTCTCACTCTCTTTAAAAAAAAAAAAAGGTGTGCTAGAGACCCTGTGGACAGAACAAGGTGTTAGAATGAGACAACACTTACCTTGGATCTCTGCTCTGTCACTTATAAATTGTGTTAATTATTTTGGCCTCAGTTTTCTCATCTTTAAGGAAAAGATGATGAATGATAATCTGTATTTCACAAATATTTTAGGATTAATGAGATATCACATGGAAAGCTCCTGTTCTTAGTAAAGGTGGTTATTGTTATTTCTATATTTGCTCGTATTTTAACTAAGCTGTTGACAGGTTAGATGTTGTCAGATGGGATCCTGTACACTTTCACCCCTACTTAGATTCCCTTTTTTCTTTCACATCTTCTAGCATAAAGTTTAATGTGTTATGTTTAGATTGAGGTTCTCCTTGACAGTTGCTAACAGGTTCAATTGCTTCACTTGTGCTGTTAATTCTCCTGCTTCTGGTGAACACATAGAATAAAAGCTTGAAAACACTTTTTTTTTAATATAAAATACTTGATGAGGTTTTACATTGTTTTTTCCTCTGTTTCACTACAATTCAAAATTTTCTAGTAGAGATCAGGAAATATGTTTAGAATATTTGTTTATTTTTGCAGGAGATGAAAGTAAGAATATTATGGGAACTGCTCAACACAATGCTCCTCAGGCAGAGAAACTCTGTCTTAAAGATAAAGTTTCAAAATGGCCTAAACATCATGGACCAGAGAATATTAAGAATGAGGATACAAAAGAAACACCATTAGCATGGTCCCAAGAAGATGAGATGTGGTGTCATGATTCCTATGAGAATGATGGCTTGTCACAGTGTTGGGAAAATTGTATAAGAAAAGCAGAAAAACCCAACCACCAGGAATGGGACCCAGAACAACATAACAGTGTCTCTGTACATCAGAATTCATCCTTGGGAGAGAAACCCTACAAATGTTTGGAATGTTGGAAAAGCTTCAGTAATAGTTCTCATTTGCGTACTCATCAGAGGACCCACTCCGGAGAAAAGCCTTATAAATGCTCTGAGTGTGAAAAATGCTTCTGTAATAGTTCTCACCTGATCCAGCATCTGAGAACACACACTGGGGAGAAGCCGTACCAGTGTGGAGAGTGTGGGAAAAGCTTCAGCAACACCTCCCATCTTATTATCCATGAGAGGACGCACACAGGGGAGAAACCCTACAAATGTCCCGAGTGTGGGAAGAGTTTCAGCAGCAGCTCTCACCTCATTCAGCACCACAGATCACACACAGGTGAGAAGCCATACGAGTGTCCCATCTGTGGAAAAGGCTTCAGCCACAGCTATGTCCTAATAGAACATCAGAGGACTCACACTGGAGAAAAGCCCTACAAGTGCCCCGACTGTGGAAAGAGCTTCAGTCAAAGTTCCAGTCTGATCCGCCACCAGCGGACACACACAGGTGAGAAGCCCTACAAATGTCCTGAATGTGGAAAAGGCTTTGGTTGTAATTCTACTCTAATTAAGCATCAGAGAATCCATACGGGAGAAAAACCCTATCCCTGTGCAGAATGTGGGAAGAATTTTAGTCGAAGCTCCAACCTTATAGCACACCAGAAAACGCACACAGGAGAGAAGTCCTGTGGAAATTCTGAATATGAGGAAAGTGTGCATCAGGACTGCAGTATGGTAGAGGACTGCAGAGTCCAGCCAGGAGAGAAGCCCTATAAATGCTGTGAATGTGGGAAGAGTTTTGGCCTTAGCTCCCACCTCATTAGACATCAGAGAACGCACACGGGGGAGAAGCCTTACAGGTGTTCTGAGTGCTGGAAGACTTTCAGTCAGAGTTCCACCCTGGTGATCCACCAGAGGACTCACACAGGAGAGAAACCTTATAAATGCCCCGACTGTGGAGAGTGCTTCAGTCAAAGCTTTAACCTCATCAGGCACCGAAGGACCCACATAGGAGAAAAACCTTACAAATGTCCCGACTGTGAGAAATGCTTCAGCAGAAGTGCCTATCTTAGTCAGCATCGGAAAATTCACATGGAAAAGTCTCTTGAGTCTCCTGAAGTGGGGGGTTTCCTTCATGAGTGGACGTGGAAAAGCTGTTCAGGGAAAATGGCCCTCCTCCCTTCATTTTCAGTCTCAAATTCATCTTCTACCTGAGTTCAACAGATGTTTCATGCTGTCCCCCCTTCCTCCACTGGACCATTACAAGGAAGGTATTTGGTGATAATTGTGCTCTAAAGTTTATTGGTGTGTTTCCCAAATGCCTGGAAAAAGTCAACCTCTCTGTTTAGAGGGAAAAACTGAGATCCACTGGCTACCTAATCTGTCCAGGGAGAGGCCACCAAGGACTGAGGAGGAACTTTTAAAATGTAAAGTGAGATAGGAATGGCTTCAGATGGAAATGGAGAGTAATCCTGGGAGTGAGCCAAAAGACCTGATGCTAGAATTGCCATTGAATCACCTCATTTCCTCTTGTCTTATTGAGTGTAGACAGTGCATTATTTTTCTTAAGAGTTTACCCAGAAAAGTTCATTTTGAACAAATAATGCCATTACCTAGCTGTTTTTGGAGGTCTTAAGAAGAGATGTACTTTACCAAGTGCATTTTTATTTTCTAAAAATGAACTTGTATCTAGAACACTGTGTCCATTACCATAGCTTTTAGCCATATATGGCTACTTACACTTATGTTGATTAAATGAAATTTAAAATCCAATTCCTTAGTCAACTAGCTCCTTGAAAAGTGCTCAGTAGCCACATATGACTAGTGGCTGTTGTATGGAATATCATCATAGAAAGTTCTTTATTTCAAGATCATCATTCTAGAGAGACTCATAAGTCTTTCCTTTCAGGATAGGAATGCACTCTGGGGATTTGCTCTCCAATAGGAATTGAAATAGAATAGAAATGGGATAGTTTTGAAAGCACTGGGTCAAGAAAGTGGATATTCTAGTGACTCTGTGTTCTCATTTATGTTCCACCAACTGGGTTATCTAGTGATAAAGCATCATTGTCTTGACTAAAGCCAGGATAGGAAGTAGGATCCTGAATTATTCTGTTTTTAAATTTTAGATGAATTTCTCTTCATGTTATTCCTAATTAGATCAGGAACTGGATTTTTTTTCTAATAATTGACACATTAATTCTGAGCCAGTGTCCAAGAATAGTTTGCCTTTGAACACTGATATTCTTTAGCTCCAAGACTGGCTGTTTTCTTGGGCCTCTTGACATACTTGGTCTGGGGATCTGATGATTGCCATCATCGGCTCTATAGGAATGATGCTTTGGGAGATATTAGATATATCTTATTCCCCTCTCCCACTTTTTCCTACTAGTGTGAAAGGTAAATGTGTAGAAGTTCAGAATTCCTCTGAACTGCCCAGGATTGCATTTTATTGTGGGATTCAAAATATTATGAAGAATATGTCAAGATGGTATATTAGGAACGTGAAGTTAGACAGGACCGACTGTGGCTGCTGAAAAGGTCTGTAGCTGGCAGGTGATTGGTTTGTATGAGGATTTTTTTATCTTTCATGCTTGGGGCATACGTGTCCTTTAGTATTGTTATATGATTAAAAAAAGAAAAAAAGCTAATAAAGGAGTTTTATATTTGGGGGTGATTTTATGCTTTCAGAAATTTTTTTTTATGTGACTCCCGCCTATGCATCTTTCCGCCTTTGTATGTTATATAATAATGCCCAAGTTATCTTAAGTTGTAATATCTCAGGGCAAGTTTTGATAGCATTTTTTTTTTTTGCCACAGAAAGCTGAGAGTTCAATTAATGATTGGTAATTAAATTATGGGTTTATTATCAAGGCTGAAATTTATTATCAAGGCAGCAGCTATGAGGTTAATCACATGATCTATGGCAAGTGGCCACTATGAGCCTCAGTTCCTTCATCTGTAAAATGAGGATAATGCCTCCCTTGCAAGGTTGGTATAAGAATTAAACAAATGTTTACAAAACTTCTGCCAGAGAGCTTAAAATAAAATGCGGTTAATATAAATATTAATGGTATTATTATTAATTGAAACAAATTTAAAAATGTCATCCACATGAAAAATAAAAGTAGCAATACAGCTCCAAACTTATCCTGCTTAGAGATTCTGTTTGATCCATCTCAGGAACCCAAAGGAACAAGGTATTAGAAAAGCATGAGATGATATGTGTTTTAAGTTTGTGGGCTGTCAAAAATACTTTTATTTACAACACTTGGTAAAAGCAGCTATAATAGAGGCAGGAAATGTTAACTGAAGTTTTTGTTGTTCATGAAACAAAGGATTTGGTTTAAAATACGAAAGATCAAAACAGCATGTTTGACAACAGGTAAATGTGTGTCCTCTCACCATCACCTGCACTATGTTTTATGACTGCCAACAAATGAAACATGTTACAAACTTGAGCTCTACAGGAATATAGACATTCACATTTTATATTGGTTAAGATGAACTCCATTATTAAAATAGTCTGGTGAGAATCCTTGTATCTGGATAGGAAATAAGGAAAATCGAAGAGAGATTTGTCCCTTGTGATGAAAAATATAACAAATTCAATCATATTTGATGTTTTTGCCTCAGTTTCACTAATCAGCTGATAGGTTCTTTGTTCAGCTCCATACAAAGTAAATATTCTGTATTCTGTATTTTTCTTGTTGGAACAAAGGATTCAGCAGCATATGAATAAAGAAATAAGAAATTTCTTATTCACAAATTATTTGTTTTATAGTATCTTTTTAATTAAATGCTGGGAGCCATTAGCCAAGTAGGTATGACAATTTCCTTGCCAGCGTACCCCATGTTGCTTAGTGGAAGGACTCCTGGAAATAGGACATTTTGCAGTGACATTGCAGTTAGGTGACCTTGCTCAAGGACCAGGGCGGATCCGGGATTAGGGTGTTCCCGGTTTAGGATAATCGGGTTTAGGGCGTTCCAGGTTTAAGATTATTCCTGCTGGGAATAGGGCGTATCCTGCTGCCTGAGTTCCCCTTGAGTTCTCACGGGATTCAGACAGTATTTTTTGGGAGATAGAAGCCCAGTGGAGGTGGATTTGGGCAGAGAACGTGGATTTCCCCAGAACGTGATTGTAGACGGCTGGTGTGAGTTCGGGAATAAAGAGTTGCTGTTTGAATCTACAAGCTGTGTGGTGGCTCGTGATTGTGTGCCCAGCCAGACTGCGGCAATTAAAGACATATTTTTCCTACTTAAAGAAGGGACTCATTGCTGGACATTGTGTTGCATGCCTGTAATCCTAGAGTCTTGGAAGGCTGAGGCAGGAGGATTGCAAGTTTGAGGCTAGCCTTGGCAACTCAGCAAGCCCCTAAGCAAATCTTAGCCAAGACCATGTCTCAAGCCAGGCGCAGTGGCTCACGCCTGTAATCCCAGTGGCTAGAGAGGTTGAGACAGGAAGATTGCAAGTTCAAAGCCAGCCTCAGCAAAAGTGAGGCGCTAAACAACTCAGTGAGACCCTGTCTCTAAATAAAATAACAAAATAGGGCTGGGGATGGCTCAGTGGTTGAATGTCCCTGAGTTCAATCCCCAGTACCCCCACCCCCTCAAAAAAAAAACCTCTGTCTCAAAATACAAAATAAAAAGGACTGGGGTTATAGTGGTAGAGTGCCCATGGGCTCAATTCCAAAACAAACAAAAAACCGATATAAAAAATAAGGGGCTCCTTATTTTTCTCTTCCAGTGGAATAGGAACATCTATGTCAATGTGCATACTTACAGAAGAAACAGGAAGCACCCTTCCTAGCTGCTTACAGCCTTCCAGGTACAAGCTTAAGCCTCTCCTAATACTGGAGGTAAAGGCTGGCTCTCAGCATCCCATGTCATCCAAGCTGGGCCTGTTACTGGTGTTAGAGGCCAGAGGCCTGACTTGGGGGCCGCAAAATGGACCAGATTTGGCCACCTACCACCTTAAAGAGTCCAGAGAAAGATGAGTGGTAGTGAAGCAAACAAAGGAATTTGTTATTTACTGTAGCCACACTAGGAAGAAATGGGGACCTGCATCCTAAGCCCTGTCTTCAGGGTACTGATCAGAGCTTCAGGATTGTATAGGGAAGAAAAAACAGTGGAACAGGGCAGGGAATATGCGTGACTGTGAGCAGTCTTGGTCCAACTGCAGTCTGGTTGATTGACTCAGGTCTGGTTCTGCTGGCACCAGGAAATCTTATTGCCCCTCTTTAAGGGGGAAATGTAGTTTCCTGAACCCTCCATCTTCAAATTTAATTATCTGGTCATCTGAGGAGCTAGAAATAACTATTGATTAAAGTAGGTTAGGTTTGCCCTAAAAAAGCAAGCTCTGCAGTTTGACACCATGCCTCACAGTCCATGGTTAGATACTGAGTGTGAAAGGACACTTGCAAAGTTCAAGGACCACCCCACACACCAGAATCCCACTCGAGAGATTTATTGTCAGACCATGGAGCAAACTGACAAGGCTGTCCCTCTAACAAGGAAAGCAGCAGCCTGTTGGCACTCACAGGGCAGCTTTATAGCCTACAGGAGGAATTTCACAAGCATGCTTTAGGGGTTATGTCATGGGCTGGGGTGGGCTCGACCCTTTAGCAGGCACACATTCTTATGGGAGGCTAAGCAGCATTGCCTCAAGATCTCTAGATAAAATGGCTCCTAAATCAAAACCTAGGAGTCCCTAGATAAAAATGGCTCCCAGCCTAAAATTGCGGATCTGATGCCAATATTGATCTGATGTCAAAAATCACATGCTTATGGTTTTTATGCTAGTGTTCAAGAGTATGTGCTCCTACTAGAATGTACACCAAGTGCAGGGATAGATTCCATCTTGTAACCCAAAGGCTGACACGGAGCAGGAGCAGGGTGTTTATTGATTTTGGTTGAGAAGTGCAAAGGATGAGGTTTCCTGGATCAGGTTGTGTAATCTTAACATTTCCTCAGGCTCCTTTCACACCTTTACTTGATCTGGCCCACAGAGCTGGGCTGATTTGGAAGTACAAGCAGCTGCCCTGAGAGGCTGTGCGTGTATTAACTCTGGAGGACTAAAATGTTCTCCATAGAACTTTGCACCCAGATTATGTAGGATAGGGTCAAAACCTGTTTCAAATTCAGATTTCAATCACTTACTGGCTCTCTCCTCTGTACTTTTCATTGTAGGATTTGGCAAGCTGTGAATGAGGTGAGGTTCCAGGCATGCCACAGATATTAAGGAAATTACTGTTTTCCTTCCTGTCCACACTCATTTACTCATAATTTTGTCAAGGGTAGGTAGGATTCAATTAAACAGAAATGTTTAATTGCACCTTGGGTTATTATTTTTTTAAGTGTCTAAAATAGAGATAACATTTATCTCATGAGTTTGTTGGGAGGACCAGTGAGATAAGGTACTTGCTTAGCATTGCTGGTACCTAGTAATCGCTCAGTGTCAGTCATTACCATCATGAAGTGGACCTAGACCATTATGGGTTTTTGGATCATTTTGGAAAGAAACTTCAGAGACATGAGTGTCTCCTGAGACCACTGAAATCGGGCATCTTTTTGTTATTGTCTGCCCTAGGAACATGAAAAGACATAAATAGGAGTGTGTAGAAAGCCATTTGGGAAGCTAATATTGTAGCATAATCATTATTGCAATTTGGTAGTATTTGAGCAACTTCTGATTTTTCTGTTTATAAATTACCCTACCTACACTTCCCTATCCCTTCATTATTTTTAGTTTCTGTTGTTGTTCATTTTTATCTTTCTCTGGCTTTAACCTCTTCTGCCTCTTAAGTCCATATACTAACACAAATTTAGGTTTTTTGTTTTTTTTTTAAGTTATAGATGGACACATACCTTTATTTTATTTATTATTTTCTATGTGGTGCTGAGGATTGAACCCTGTGCCTCTGATGTGCTAGGCAAGTGCTCTACCACAAAGCTATAACCCCAGCCCCTCTACCCTTTATTTTATTTTCTTGCTTTTCCTCCCCTCCCATGACTTGGAATCAAGTCAAAGCTGAGTATGGTCCAAATGGCGCAGTTTAGTTACATACGGAAACGGGATGGTAGATGTATTAATACTTTTTTTTTATTGCTATAAAATACCTGAGACAGTACTTAATGAAGAAAAGAGGTTTATTTGGCTTTTAGAGGCTGAAAGTCTATGACTGGGCAGAGCCATCTCTTTGGACTGTGAGGACCCCCTGGCTACATCACAACATGGTGGAAAAGTAGGAATGGAAATGCTACATGCATGTAGCTAATTGCATGGGATGGCCTTTCTTTGGAACAGCCCACTCTTGTGGGAATTCACCTTGAAACTAGCATCGGACTGTGCTGTGGATGATGCCTCCCATGACCTAACTACCTGGCACAAGGCCCCGCCTCTTAAAGGTCCCATCACTTTTACAATGCCACACCAAGAAAAAGCTTCCAAAGGACACGAATCTTTGGGAGACACACTCAAACCATATCTATACCATAGCACCTGGCAATTATGACCCAGTGGGCATGCAGCTACTTAGAAGCAGAGGAAGAGTGTGGGGGCCAAGACAGCATGCTTCTGGTCTAACATGGCTTGACTCTGGTCAAATCAGTAGATGTTCATAGATTTGACAGACTGAGGGATGGAGTGGAAGCCTGGTTCAGGATTACCACAATTAATTTTGACCCATGCCGAGCCCTGAATAAATGGTAAGATTAAGAAAATACTAGTTGATGAGGCTGTTAGACACAGGTAGGAGATGTCCCCCTTAACATGGCTCATTTGAAAATATGCAACAAAGTACAAATTAAGAAATACATAAAAGTATGAAGATCAAAATAAGAATGACTCATAGTCATTTTTTCCAGAGATCATTCACCATGAAAGTTCTGAGACTTTTCACAACAGTCTCTTTTCTAAGCATAGATATGCATAAATATAAAAAATAGGATCATATGGTATATATCTAGTATTGTCTTGATTTTTTCTAAATATTAGATCATTTGTCATTGAACTTGTTTAAAAATTATGAGTTTTAATGGCTTCACCATATTATACTAAACTGATGTGTCATACAATTTAATTGTCTTATTATTAGATGTTTATATTATTTCTCCTTGTTTGATATTAAAAATAACACTTCGAACAAGGACTTTTTGTTTGGTGTTTCATCTGTTTTGGTGTTATGGTTTTCTTTTTCTTTTTTTTTTTTGGTACTGGGGATCGAACCCACTGAGATACATCCCCAAACCTCTTTTTTTCTTTAATATTTAGAGACAGGGTCTCACTGAGTGGCTGAGGGCCTTGCTTAGTTGCTTGAGGCTGGCTTTGAACTCATGATCCTCCTGCCTCAGCCTCTCAAGCAGTTGAGATTACAGGCATGCATTGCTGCACTTTTGCTTTTTCAAACGGTACGTCTGATTATTTCTTTTGGATGAATTCCTAGAATTGTGATTACTGAATCAAAGGATATAAATGGTTTTAAAGGCAGCTTGCTTAATTGCTTTCCAGAAATGTTTATCCATTTAAACTACCCCAGTAAAATAATTTTATGAAACCCCTTTTCCTGGGGGAGGAGGAAAAAAATTAGTATGTTAATAAATGACATTATTATAATTCAAGGCCAATATATTAATATGATAAAAATTTTTAAGGCAGTTTTTAAATAATCTTTTTCTGGTGGTCACCCCACCCCATCCCATTGGCTGAGACTCACCTTGGGTTGGTCATTTTAAGAACTACTTACGCTTTTCCTTGTTCTGCACTAGACAAAATCACAACTGATGTCATGGCTTTAAAAACTAGGGAAATGAGACAATACTCAAAGCCTTGCAGTGTCAGGAGGAGGAATGGATGAAGAAGGGACCGGTTAGTTCAATATACATTGCCACCTGATGTAGAAGATCAAGTGCATCCCAAAGCTAGGACAGTGAGTTTAATTCAGGTTTGGCAGATGATGAGTATCTTTTAGTTTTAAAAATTCATGTAGAGGGAAAAAAATGGGGACTTATAGAAAGATACAAAATTAGACTGCTCAGAAGAGTAGAACCCTCTTCCCAATTACACTGCCATCAATAGGGGAAAAACCTGTGTTGTCGACTGCTTGCCTAAGTGTTGTACTAAGGGGAAAAAAACCATACTGTGGGAAAGAGGAAAAGAAAACAGGTGTGATCACTGACTTTGACAGAGATTATA